TCGGGCGAGGACAACCTCTACTTTACAATCTAACAACCCCACTGCGAGGGTGGGGAAAAATCATTTCGAGGTTGGCGCGTTGAAGGCGAATGTTTGGTGGATGCATGCTCGATTTCCAGAAGTGAAAGCGAAACCATCCAAATGTGAAACGAGGCGGCCTTGGCGTCCTTGGTCAGACATGAGCCAGAGGTCCACATGCCCATTCTGGATGCTGGCGCTTTGGATGCCTTGGCAGCCATGCTTCAAGCTTCTTGCTTGGCTTCAAGAAGTTTGTTTTCATTCGAATTAGGAAGGCAAGCCCCATGAATGTGCAGTGTCATGCATGGGATTCAGACAACATGGAGCAGCCCAGGATGAAGAGAGTATCGAGGCGGCTTCGTTGCTAGAGGCATCCCATCCCAGTGTGGCCTTTGCAACCAAGTCCACGTTCGGTATGTTGATGTATTATCACGATATATGATGTATTCATGCTCGCAAGTAGCTCTTTAACCCGCCTGAGATACCGTTAGGCTGCTAGAGTTGCTGCTGGCATGTTTCGGCGGGTGAGCGTATTCTGCACCGCTGCAGGTTTTGCAACGCTGTCCGACGACTTGCGTGGACCAGGAGTTGAACACCTGAGCAGCTGCTGTCGCTTATCCCCAGCAGAAGCTGCTCCGTGGATCCGGGGGGCAAGAGTGGCATTCCGCATGCACCCGTGCGAGCATCTGTAGATGCAAACTTCTGCGAGCGGATCATGGACGGTGAGCTATTGAGGATGCATTGCCCAGCTCCTATGACCGGTCACCGGCAGGCAAGCAGCTAGAAAACAGCTGTCCAGAATCCAGAACGGCAGCGTTCAGCGCCAGGGAGTTTTCTGGCAAGAAAAAGGTCCTAAGAACCAACAAGCTGCAGCCATTGCACCCATTATGCGCTCGTCACTTGTTGGTGCCAGGCTGGCAGTCCATGGGTGCCACTGGCGTCGAGCAATGGGAATGTGTCTGCAAGGCACGCTAGCAACCACACAGCTGTACCATTTCCATCCTGACTGGCTTGACGACATGTCAGACTGAAAGGTCCCCCTGAGCATCCGCACTGCGCCGCGTGGAAAAGGCAGCTTGCCCAGGCGGGGCATTGAGTTTGGTGGAGACCAGCGCGGCAGCGCAGGTGAAATCGTGGATGTCGTTGGGCCTGGAGACCTTGTTGCCTTTACTCCCTTCCCGAAGCGTGGCCCGGCCAGGGACCCAGCCAGGCTTTCCGCTCTTTCTGAGATTTTTTGTTTGCGATCGTAAGGTTGTCCTCTCAGACCTTGCAGCGCACAGTTACTTGAGATGCCTTGCCCTTGGTCGGTTAAAAGCTCAACTACTTGGTGCTCCCCTATGTATTGAGGCCGCAAAGTCAAGGAGGCAGGGTCAAACCTTGCAAAAATCATACCTGTGTCAGCCCATGTTGGATGCCAAGCCTATTTTCACTGACAGGACACTGGGGTGGACTCTGAGCAAGGCTCTTCATGTGTGTCACCATCGTCCACAGCACAAATCAGCTAGCTAACGTACAACTCCTGCTCTGTGCAGGGTGGATTTCGTGCAACTCCGAGGAGGTTGGGGTTCACTTCATCCCGTGAGAGCCCTGGCCACAAGTTGAGGGCTCTCTTTTTTAATTGCAGCACTGGGGGATACGCGCAGTTCGTATGAGGAGTGATAGCCGGTAGCTGTACGCCAGGAGTAGCAAAGGATGCTGAGGACTAGTCAGAGATTAGTGAATATGAAGGTGCTCATGTTTGTGCTTCTCTCCGATTCTCTCCCTGTCTATGTTCTCTTAATCCTAAGCCCTAACCCTTGCTGTCCCTGCAAGTACCAGGTACACTGGCAAGTCCCAGAACCACAACGCATCTTCGGCTTTCAGTTGGGAGGGCTGCTCGAGAAGGACTGCCATCCTGCATTTTTTTACCGTACTGGGGATGAGTAACCCTTAGTACGGACTAAGGGAATATACATACATACCAACATACATGTGTGTATATCTGCAGGGTTTGCTTGAGGCTGCTTCTTGCTTTTTCAGCGCATGCCCCATGTTAAGCATGGCATTTGTGGATCCAAGCAGTGAGGGTAGTTTTGGAGGGGGTTGAGTGTGCAGGGTCTCTTCTAAGGTCTCGGTATCCCAAAGTAGGGGACCCCAACATAGATCCCAATATATTATAATCCTGACTATTGGGACTTCCAAAAAAGGACACACGGTTTTTTGGAAATCCCCATATTCTCATTTCTTTGGAATTGGGAGCTTTTCAGGAGTTCGTCGCAGAATGCCTGGCTGAACCAGCTTGTGCGCCTGAAGTTGCCATCCACCACAGATTTGGAGGACACGGGATGGCCTTGAGAGAGATGCTTAGGGCACCAAGGAAAGCACTGACAACCTGCCAGAAGACTGTCCAATATACTATATGACACTTTCCATTTTCTTTTCCATTATCCTTATATACCCCCAATATATTATACCCTAACCCCTTAAGGAGACTGTGGGTTCGCGCTTGCTACTGGATGCCCGTGTGCGCGGCAAGTTCACAGGCCTGCTGGCTGCGGGGTTTTCTCAAACCTTTGTCTGGCGATGCTAGGCATCTTCGTTTGTGACGCTCTGGCTGGCTTCGGAATGGCTGTCAGGCCATGCATTCTCCCATATATTACATTTACTCGTATATTGCTCCCATATACCCCTTTATGATAACTCTAATATAACTCTGATATACCCCTGTACAATAACCCCATATAACCCTCATACTTATCACCCCTATATGATAACCCTATATAAACCCTATGTTGCTCCTGGCTTTCTTGGAGCCTGGCAGGCCCTGCATGGACAGGCCCATCTTCAAGTGTTCCCGTTGCAATTAGTGTATTGCAGTGGTTGTATTACAAGATGTTTAGGTATAACATGGTATAACACAGTATAACATAACATAACATAACATAGTATAAGATAGTATAAGATAGTATAATATAGTATAATATCGAACAATATTGGAAATATAATGCTCCTTGAGCATCCTTGTGCTACCTCGGAGCAGGGTAGCTCAGCGGTGGATCTCTGACAACTTTTCAGTGGAGGTTGCCGTAGCCCAAGCATCCCATCGCCTCAAGAGTTGCTGGATCTCGTCGGCGAATCTATATGAGCAATAGTCTAAACTCCTTAAATGGGGTTTATATAAGGGATTATAGAGGGGAGTAGTATAGGGCTCTGTAAGGGGGATACTAGGAGTGTAGACTATAGCTTATATGCCTGGGATGGTGCCTTGTAGCCGAGGCCACTGTTTCAAGCTTGGAGCTTGCAGCCCTGCTGGAAAAACGAACCGTAGAGGACACACTTCCTGTGGACATGCTAGACACCAGGGCTCCAAATGCACTTGACATAATGGAGCCTCGAGAGAAAGAGATACGCAAGGATCGTCACAGACTCGCCGCCTCCCCAGGTAGCTATGCGATCTGTGCGAGAGTGTAACCATGTCTCGCAGTCTCGCAGCGTGAGGGGTGCGTGAGGTGGTCCTGCTGGTGCAGGAACCGCATGCCTGGGTGGCACGGGCACGCCTGAGTGGCTTTCCAGGCGCCTTTCTGGACCGGCGCTCATCAGCAGATTTTGCAGAATTACTACGCCTTTCTGCTACTTGTCAATGCCCAGGCACGTGCTTCAGAAGGTGACCCTGCTGGACAGCTGGAGTTCGTAGGTGTGCCTGAATTTTATCATGCAGTGTGCGCAGACTGAAATGCAATCATAGCAGCAGCAGGTGAAGGTGCCAGCCTGAACGATTGGTTGCAGCAACCTGTGGAATGCTCCGGAAACCTTCACTCTTCTGGGCTCATGCTCGAAGCTTGTTTTCTGCTTGGTGAGGTCAGCCTCCAACCCTGCAATGGCTTTGCCGTCAGGTCATTGTGGGCCTGGTTCACACAAGATCTCGCTCGCGCGGCAGCGGTCTCCCATCTGCAAGTGTGTCTTGATTCTATCCAGGGCTTTTGGTGTCTTCAATGAACTGCTCACACAAGGCGTCACGACACGTACGACACTCAGTCATTGCAGCAGAAGTCAAACCGCCGCTCGTACAGAGCCACACATGGTTTTCAGCAGCTATGGATCACAATTAGCTGTCCGTAATTCTGTTCCAGGTGGTGCTTTGCAGAGTGGAGGAGCTTTGCCAGCCTCTTGCGGAACCGAAGTCCCTCAACTTATGCAGGGCAACTCATCGTAGATGTTATGTGGCTATACAACTATGTGGCCAGCTCTTTGTTTGGTAGGCCAGGCTCAAGTGCAAGTGCAAAGAAATGTAGCTGGTTGAAGCGCAACGCTGCCGGCCGCAGGCACCTCTTTCACCAGCTTGATGGTGTGCTGTGTGCTGCTCACTGTCACTGCCAGTTTTGTGTTTGCTTGCTGGTACTTGCAAGCTTGATGCAGTCGTTGGGGCCCAAGCCTTCATAAAGACTGTGAAGGCAGAAGCGGGGAACCTGGTAAGGGATGAGGAGTGTGGACCTCCGGCAGAGCCTGGAGCGCCGCAAGAAGGACCAGTTCGAGAAATTCACACAGGCACTGGCTGAGGTTAGTCCCACGGATTTCATGCAAGAAGATGTCTTAAAGGCTGGCGGGATATGTCTAGACTTGCAGCTTTCGGGAGCCATACCTCCCATTACCGAATCCAGAAGAGTTGATTCGGCCGGTCTGGCTGCAATTGCGTTGAACGAGCGGCGTGCTGCTGAAGAGTTGATCGCCAAGGCTCGGCAAGAGTCTTTGTTCACAAAACAGACGCTTGTTTCGCAAGCTAGAAGATCCCGTGGATTACGATCACGGCGGCAGAGTTTGCGTCCCGTCTCTATGCAGAGCACTCGTGCGAATTCACCCTTTCCTCAAGCACGCAGCCCAGCAAGCCCAATGTCGGCTAGCACATCTGATTGGGGATTTTCCGGTCCATCGCCGGATTCTGCGAGTGAAGGAGCGCCAGACTCCTCGATTCCGACGTGGAAGATCTTGGAGGACATGCTGGCAAATTATTACCGTCAGGCAGAGGAGCTGCGAGATGTGGAGTATGCTGCTGTGCAGCAAGCTCGTCGGCAAGAGACCGAGCTAGCGCAGCAAGAACATGTCCGACGAGAACATTTTGAAATGCAGCATCGTCGACGGGAATTCGCAATCATCCACGAGCTACACAGGCGTGAACGGCGCCGGGTGTTCGACGAGTCTCGAAACGTGCTGGTTGTGGATCGGCTGGCAGAGGAGAAGATCAAGCTCAAGCTCGAACAGCAGCGTCGAAGAGAAGCTGCACGTCAACAGCGTGCACAGAGCAGCGCAGGACGTGCCAAGTACGAGTCTCACTTCGATTTCATTCTGTCGCAGGGTGCCCTCGAACGAGCCTGCTCCCAAGCTGACCGGGAGAAACATCGCATGAACCAGGCCGCCGAGACGAAGATGAAAGTTGACCGGCGAAAGGAAAAGTGGGCAAGGCATGCGGGACAGCTTCACGCACGGCGTGTTTTCCTTCAGGAGCAGAAGCGCGTGCGTGACGAAGACCGAGATCGACAGTACAAGTACCATGTGGCACGGCAAGCAGCCATCCGGGAGAAGGAAGCGCTGGACAAGAAGCTCCATGTCCAAACGCAAGTGAATCTCCCCAAGGCTGTTCAGGAGATCAAGCCAGAGAGTGGAGACATCAAGCCAGAGATGGACCGCAGCCTGCGAAGCCATACGAGCCAACCGCCGGTGAACTGGTCTACCTCAGTGTCAACCCCTAGCGTACCTAGCTTTTTAGTTGTGGAAGACTTGACCAAGCATCGTGAGGTCCCACAGGTCATCGCATCATTGACTGACGAAGTGCGCGCACAAGTTCCGCTGCATCGATCCTACTCGAGCAAAGCCATAGATGGGCCCAAAGAAGCCGATGCAGAGGATGCCTAGCCAACTCCTCGACTTGACTGCTTGGCCGAGGAAAACATCTTTTGCTTACATTGTCAACCAGTGGTGCCACAACCAAAGATTTCCCTGCTCTCATCTACAAGTATCCACAAGGTGATGTGCCAGCTTTGGGCTGTGGCAGCCGTCGCTGTAGCTGCATGGCCAGTGGCGGCAGACCAGGCAGCTGGCAGCGGGTTGTTGAGTTTACGACATTTTCACGAAAGCTCCTTGGAGGGAGCTTTGTTTAGTACCTCACAGGAGTGAGACTGGGGATGTTGGGGGGGATTGGGGCAATTTTGTCTGGTTTTTTTCACCTGCCACGCATGGAGGGCCTTTTGGGTGATCTTGGGAAAATCTTGGCGTGATTTGGGGGGGCTCTTGGGGGCATTTGGGGGGCTCTTGGGGGGTGGGAATCTTTCGGGGTCTTGGTGTCTTGGATCTTGGGGGGGTCTTGGGCAGTCATCACATGTCATCCCTATTCATCGCTTGCAGGCTATGCGAGGCTCGAATCTTGGATGCGAGCAAGGTGAGCGAGCTGTTGTAGACAGAGACCGAGACACAGACATCCAAGGAGACCTTGCCCCGAAGGGGATGTCTTGCTATATGTAGCTGCGCCTGATCACGTGGTCAACCTGTCGTGTCGTGACTTGCCCCTGGGCAAAGCATGGCAAAGCAGTGTGGAAGCATGGCTTGCGCCGAGAGAGTCCAACGGACGTCACAAGCGACGCGAGGCTTCGGCAAGACGTTTCAGTTCAGAAAGGCAAGGCTCGAGGCCATTTCATAGCAACAGGCGCCAGGCTGGCGGCATCTCGGCTGAATCTGAAGTTTTGAAGTAGGGGTACCAGAACTAGATTGCAGATGATTGCAGGCCCCGTGTACCTGGGCTTGGAACTTGCGATGACAGGCTCTGCTGCCGAAGGTGGAGGGTCAGCAGCTGCGGCCTCTGTTGCACTCGAACAGCTGATTCTGACAATCGTCATGCGGTCGTATACTTGCTCATCATCACGTCGGCCTTTCCGCTTGTTCTTCCTACGCTTAGCAGCAGTGCTGAGACTTGAGAGTGTGCGTTGTCAAGGGGTGCGGATGTCGGGCCGATCGACCTGGTGGACCCACACCTGGGGCACGTAGAGCAGACGGCAGGAAGCTCAACCCCACGCAGCTTTGGAGGAGTAATTTCCAAAACAGGGCCCTCTCAACCTGATGCTTGTGTATGCCTGTGGGTACTTTTTTTGGAAGTTGAGATGTCAACATTCCCTTCTTTTCCTCCTTTCTTTTGAATACCTTTTACCCTCCTTTGTAAGTGCATGTTGGGGTATGAGACATAAAGTCCCGGCCGAATTTCACAGCTCAGAAGCCCGAGGTTCTGGCCGCGGACCCGACATCTTCGCCAAGCGATGCACCTCGCATGCATTACATGGCCCCCATGTGGCAGTATATGAGGATCACGGCAGTCGTAAGCTTTGCGATCTGCTGCCGGCCCTCAAGTATTGATAAGCTTCACGTCCATGCGAGCTGCCATTGTTAAGGAGCCGGATGATGATGTCAAGGCGCGAATTGAAGAGGAAGTGGAGGAGAGGCTGAAGAGGACACGGCAAAGAGAATCTCTGATTGTCGTGCGGGCTGTTGTAGCACGTTGGCCTCACAAGTAACTTAGTCGATGGCTGTTCAAAATCTGTAATTGCTGTAAACTACTGTAATGGCTTGGGGTTGTTGAGGGTTTGCTTCCGGTTCGTAGGAGGGAGGAAGAGAAGAAGGAGGAAGAGGCAAAAGATGAAGACACGGAGATCTACTCCAACCTGCTGCTGTTCGGAGCCTTAGGGCTAGCAGCCCTTATTCGTTTCCTCTGTAAGGCTGAGTGGGTCAGTAAGAGATATCCGACACTAAGCTATAAGGGTACATTCCTTGAGCCTTTCTGCTGCAGGCGATTCCGCACTCGGAGTCGTCCTACATGATCCTGCAAGATGCTTCTCCAACTAACCATGGAGCTCCCAAAAATAGCGGCAAAGCGAAAACGCCCACCCAAACAAGGAGCCTTGCCAAGAGCAGGGTGAGAATCAGCGCGGCATGTTCTGAATGAATGGGCACAGGGGGACGGTACCTTTGCTAAGGAGAACAAGCGAGAGCTCGGTGACATACCTGCAAGAGACTGCCCGATGAACCATCAGGCCAGCAGCGTTTGTAGCGTCAGAATGCCAAGGAACCAAAGATGACGGTTTCAAGTGACAAGAGCAGTCAGCACCTTAGTTTCTTTGGAGTGTACATGCCCCAACATGTTCGTAATTGCATTGTCGGTTCCAGTCTATTTTGCAGAGGCCGCCGACCGCCGACTAGTTCAAGTGGTTCCCGTTGAGGTTCGCAGCTCAGGTGGCCCCACCAAGTGCGTAAAAAGGCTTGTATTTGTGCAGCTCGAGAACCAAGTGAAGTGCCACAACGACGTGCCAGGCACCGTTCGAATCGGCAAGCCTCGCTGCTTTTTAAAAGAACTCATGCCATTCGGCGTTCATCGGCGTTCGCCATTGTTCACCTTGCACGTTGGCCACGTGGATCAAAGACGACTGGCAGCCGGTTTTCTCCGGCTAGGCCAATGCCAACCAACCAGTGACTACGCGATTACCCGAATAAACTTCAAAGCCATCCTTGCATCATCCTTGCCATGGCCCTGGCAGCAACTGCCCCATGCGATATGACCATCATTGTAAAAGTTGGTTTTACAAGTAAAGCTGCTTAATCAGGTTATTTTCTTGCAGCATCTGCGCTCAGGCTGCCCTACAGGTATCTACAGGTGGTCGTGCTAGACTACTTTTGCCCTGCCGGGTGATGCAGAGAGTTGCAGGTGTTGCGTCCGAAATGTCTTAGTGCAAATCGACGGATAACTTTGTTTTGAGCTGTGCATGAAAACCTGCACCATCCGGTGATAACATCCGACCGGCGAAGGTTTGGATACTTGTGACCTGGCCTTGTTCGGTCGCCCAGACACAAGGTCAAGGAATTGTTTCACTTCATGTCCAAGGAGACCAGCGGCGCACACAAAAGGAACAGTGGAGATCAAGTTTCTACTGCGAGCATTCTTACCTGGTTACTGAAGGTAACAAATCTGCAGAAGCATGCCCCTGCTACTTCCATGGCAGTCATGCCCATCATGTAGCTGCTGCTGCCTGCATCCGTTCCTGTTGTTAATGTACATTGTCCACCTGCTGAGAGCGACAATGCAGGATCTCCTCTTCGACAGCAACCGCGTCTCCGTGGCACTTCAACGTCTAGGCATACGGCAGCGAACAGAAGGCATACCTGTTCCAGCCTCAAGTGATCTCAAGTGTATGTCTGGCTTTTGCTACGGGCGAACTGGGCTGCTTGGGCAACCATCTTCAGCCAACCTGAGCGCTTAGACTTGTGAGTTCAGCCTCTCACTCGTGAAAGGCTCTGCGCACAATTTTGTCCCGAGGTGACTTCGCCAGTGCAGGATAGGTGGTGGCGCCAGGCCATCGAGTGCTACAGGCAGGTGTGTTCGGCTACTCGTACTGGGATGTGGTTGCCTGCCAACTTCTCCGATGGTTGAGCAGGCAATGCAGCGCCTTCACTGAAGAGGAGGGCGAAGCCATCGATGTTCCAGTTCGTGGCCTTCGAGGCCCGGTGCGAGTGCTGTAAGTGAAGTTTCTCAATTTCCCAAGTCATCAGTAAGTCGTCCCGTTCGGTCCGCATAAAACCTACACGAGCATGCAGCCTTACACTCCTGTGTGCTCGCAAGGAGCGCTTGCTTACGCCACGGTCTTAGGCACTGTCAGACCGGGGCTGATTGCCCCTACTCAGCATCTGCGCACAACGCAGTAAGCCGGAATGCAAGGCAGGGGATGAGGACTGGCGAGGATGGTCTTCGGCTGCAGAGAAACAGCTGGATGCAATCAGAAAAGACTTTAAGAGCCAATGCCTCAGCTACAGTTGCCGGTGATCGTTTGCAACCCTCGGATCCCTATTCTGTCGAAAGGCCTGGGTGATGCATTCGCCGAGGAGAGAAGTGGGATACCAGCAAAACACAGCAGCAATGGCAAGGAAGATGCTAATTAGGGCAGATGCAGTATGATCCAGCTCCTGCGTCTGCAAGCAAACCCTGGACAGAGCTCAGAAGAAACTGCGCAAGGCGAAAAATGGGAGCAACTACGCCGCAACTACGCCATCTACGCAGTGAGATTTGCTGCAGGATGCTGGCACCACAACTCGGGTGGACCCGTCTGACAGCAAAACGTACACGTCTGGCCCCGGGCTGCTGCACCTTGTGAATCTGCATGATATTGCTGTCTGTCCATGATCCCAGTCCTGTCATTCCACTGTCATTGCTCGTTTGTCACGTGCTGGTCTTGCTACTGCCCGCATACAAAATGTGATATCAGTAGGACTCTTGCGGTCATGCTTCGTATGATCATGCAGTTGCGAGGTTGGAGCAGCTGCCAGGGCCCTGACGTGAGGGTGTCCCAAAATTGTGATCCCTTATTTTGGGCTTCTAGTGGATTTCCATTTGGAAGACTACTATGCGAGTACAATATGTGCCAGCGGTACTTGGCCACCTAAGTTGCTGGATGGCAGTTCCTGGCCTGACAGGTGCACCAAGTATTCAGCTCTCCCACGCTTCGACGCAGAGCAGTGCGCCGTGTGATTCTTCAAGGAATTCAAGAAAGATTTGTTGGGATCATGCGAGGGTTAAATATGGGGGATTATATAGGGTTTAGGGTTCAGGGTTTAGGCGGATCAAACTCCTTTACAAAAAGGGTTTGAAATCCATAAAGGAGGTTGTGTAGGGGATTACATATGGGGAGTATTACAGGGCTTTTTGAGGGGGATACTAGGAGTTAAGGCTATAACCCCTATAATCCCCTGTATAATCCCAGTTTCCATTTCATTTTCCATTTTCTTTTCCATTTCTCCACTATGAAGGGGGATGCTAGCAGTTTAGGCTGTAGCTCATTTCGTGGTTTAGTATGGGGTTGGAGCCAGGGGGTGGGCTAACTTGCAATATTTTGTGCGGTCTTGAGAAGCAATTCCTCCACTGCATGGACATTATAGCTACTATGGGGGTATATAGGGGTATATAAGGATATTTGTATAGGAATGGAGAAGAAAATGGAAGCTACTCTCTAGAACTCAGAAATCATGTTCACAAGGTACTTCTGGAGCCACTGCTGGACAACGAAGGACAGCGGCAGCATGGCTTGGGGAGTACGTCTTCTCTGTATCCGTCATGTCTTTGGTTCGGCCATCTTATGCACAATCTCTCTTTGGCCTGCCCGAACTTACGGCAGGCCAACTTGGAATGCAGAAGCAATGGAGTAGGATGGCTGCCAGATTCTGGCATCCACAGCTTATGTAGCCGATTCTCGCAATGGCCTGTTCTGGTCTTGTACGGCTATGCAAGGAGAACTGCAAGACTCGAAGCTTCGAATTTGATGGTGCTTGGAGCTACTCGCCCCTTCCCCAGCGTCCTCCAAACAAGGCTCAGATGTCATGAAACCCAGTCAGGTCTGGCTGCTGCAACATCACATGTGGAGCAGCTTAGCTGCATTTCGAAATGCAGATTTGCTAGGCTTGTGTCATGGCTTGCTTTAGTAGGTGTCTTCAGGCCAGAACGACCCGTTTTTGTGCTTAAATGCTTTAACCGTGTCGCAGTCATGGACTTTTGGTTCGCCTAATTCTTGTTGCGAAGGAACTTCACTGGCAGAGTGGGCTGCAGACAGTCCTCCAAGCTACCAGTGATGTTGCGCGTGGGGCTTGGCTTTGCTGTTGAGGGCAGGAAGGCGGGCGTGGGCACAGTAAGCAGTACTCCTGCAGTTGGCGACCCCTCCTTGGCTGAAAGAAGGTCATAACAGGTCAGAGTGATGTGGCCACAGGGCCGCGCGGCTACCTAGGGCGCGGTACTTCAACATGCCTCGGTGAGAAATGCAGTAGAAGCTGGGTGGCAGTGTGGATTGTTAGTGTCCAGGTTCAACATGGAGCTGGATGGCGAGATGTTTCAGGAGCTGTTGTGCAAGCCCATTCAGGGATGTTGTCTAGTATTTGGTTTGCTGTTTGCTCGTTTGTTTCTCTGTTTGCTGGGTGAGTGGCGCTTTGCAAGTTAGAAATGCCAAGCAACATCGTTTGAGTGTCTCCGAATGTCAGCATGATTGAGCCCATGTGCATGCCAGCCTGACTTACAATCAGTCGCATTAACCAGAGAAGTGAGCATCCATGTGTCAAGTTGTGCAGCATTTGTGAGCTAGCGATGGTCTGTTGTTGAGGTCAAGTTGAGGAGGGGTCCATATTAAGCCCTAACTCCGAAACTCTCACATGAGAAGCCCTGGCAGTATCCAAAGCACCAGAGCGTGTCTACAAGTGTGTTCCCTGCACCAGGATGTGGTAGAAACCCCAAGGATGAGAAACAAATCCGCAACAAATGGGGGTTGGTATATAGCGGGTATTTTTGGGGATATGGGCGATATTGCGAGACAGAGGGATAATGGAACATGAAATGGACACTACTATTTAGGATTTAGGGTGAACTTGCAACAGCAAGCCTCAGAAAGCTCAGTGAAAGCTCTTTCAGGGTAAGCTGGCAGAGGGTGGCAGCCGCCTGGTCTTCAGTGATGGAGATGTCGGCCGCCTAGCCTTGCCGGTGCTTAAGGAGGAGGGGGGCGGGAATGCTTGCAATAGTTTTTCATGTAGTTCCACGTATAAACAGGGGCACAGGCGCAGGGGTATGTAACAGTCGGGTGACACTGAAGGCTTGAGGTGTGGCTTGGCATATCTTTTTGCAATTCACCCAATTTTCTGCAGGATTCCGCCACGGAATCAATTGAAGAGAGGGGGGCGGCCTTGCCTGGATCATGGACCACAATCATTTGATTAGATGGCGTGCTCTAAAGGACAATTGTTTGCCCCCTCTTGCCGCGTCCGGTTTTGGAATGAGCAGCAGGTCTGGTGCCGTGCCGAGCCTGCAGCGACTCTGCCTAGTTCCGCTTCAACCGGAACAAAAGCGACAGAGTCTGTGCCTCGGTCTGTCTGCAAAGGAGCTGGAGAATGGTTGAGATTTGAGTTGTCCAAAGGTTGAACTGCACAAGTCAGCCTGCCTGGTCCCCAGAAGGCCAGCAGCAACATTGTGTTGATGTCTGGCCAGCAGGAAAAAGCGTCACCGAGCCAAGGGCAGCAGCAGGCAATGCTTCACCTTTAAGTTTGTCAACTGCCAGCGTTAGTGCCAGGAACAGGAGGCGCTGGAAGAGTCCGAGCCCCTGTGTGACCTGACAGAGGACTTCAGCCTTCGAATGCCTTGGACTCCCAATTTCAAGCAGTGATGGCGGCTTCGTACTGTTCGAACGCGAAGGACAACATAGGCAATGTCACAAACGAGCTCGGACCTCATACTCCTGTTGTGTGAAGCTTACTGCAAGCTGCCCAAGCTTGCTAAGTCTGCTGAGGACAGAGGTACTTGATGCGGTCGCCGACATACTGCGGGAGGTTCTGCAATGCCCCTGTTGACCAGACCGCCAAGAGCGACCTGACACCTGCAGGCTGTGACAAGACTCGATGCGGAAGTGGTGAAGCGCTGCTTGGACCAAGTGCGGGGCCCACAAGAGGGAGAGAGGAGTTGAATTCTCATTCAGTCGAGGCGGAGTGCCGTGAAACGATTGTTGCAGCAATTAAGCCATGTTGTGGCAGAGCAGAATCGCCTTCGAAGCATTTGACTTGCGCAGCGCGAGGCAGAACTATTGGGTGGTCCCAGCGCTGTCAGGGCCCCAAGAGTGCTGCCATCATCATCACCATCATCATCATGCCCAGCTTGCTTGTGCTAAGCGGAGGTCCAAGATGTGGTCGCCCATTTGCCTTCTGCCGATGCTTTACCAAGCCTCTTCCAGACGTCGGATGGTGACACTTCGGCTGGCCAGGATCGCACACAGATTGTAGCCTTCTGAGTGATCCTGTGCTGTGAGCAAGGCATGCGACGCTGTGCATTGACACGCCCTTGCCCAGGTCAAAGTCCTCCTGGAGGCAAGGGCAGACCTGAACCAGGAAGTACGCTTGGCCCTGCTCCTGGCTTTCTCCGGCCATTCAGACCCGTCCGGCCGTCCAGCACTCTAAGGCCCAGCCCTTCTCTGCAAGCTCCGCAAGCCGTGATTGGCTTGCAGAAGGCAGACTCGATGCCAACATTGCCAACTTGAACTGGGAGCAATTGCCAGACCATGTGGCAGAGATCTGCAGGCCCTGTCTCTGTGCATGAAGAGCCGCGCTCGATGCCAACAGAACTAGACAAGCACACCGAAGCTCCCCCTGACAGCTTGACTCTCGTCCGCACTTCTGCGCGCCAATCGAATTCACATTCGACGGCAGCGGCCATAAACTGGAATCTTTTGATGAAGAGGCCAGCGTTGGACGCGGTCGGAGACTGCAAGGGCATGAGCAACCATGTGGACCTCGGCGTGGTGGAGGAGACCACGAGCACACCATCTTGATAGCAAAGAGTTGCAGGCTGCTGGATAGAATTCTGACGAAGGGGTCGGATACGGCAACATGAAACCTAGAGGCCCAAGCCTCAAGTTCTTCATCCTGGATGTTGGTTTTGGTCTCTGTGGCTGTCTGCAGGATTTGTTGTGTGTGTTGTGCTTCGGTGGAAAGGTGAACCCAAGAAATCTATGTATGCCAATAGATAACCAGTATGGGGCGTCAAAGCCCATGAGCGTTCAACATCGGTGACTCCTGAGGCCAAAACTCCTTCCAAATGTATTCTCGACTGCCCTTCATGCCACACCTCTTTTTCCCGACCCAGCATTGTTTGTCAGGACACGTTGCGCTGCGATACAGGCGATGTGTGTTGCAGTCCAGATTTCGCACCGACTGTCAGAAGATGTTGTACACGAGCTGACCGCTTAATTTGATTTTGGTATGAAGTCCCTGGCTCATCTCACCAGAAGTTCGCTACCTGCTTACTTCTCGGTGCCTTAGAGCACAAAACTGTAAACAGGTGTAACCTCTTGTGTGGTGCCAGGTCAACTGTGTGCTGAGCTTTAGGAAGATGCGCTCAGTGACTGCCCTTAAGCCTGTCAAAGCATTGGGTTCGAGCATAAGGGGTGATGGTTTTCAAGTCGAAGTGCAATGCTGGTCCTCATTCGCTTAAGTAAAGGTGGCGGCATCGTGGGGCTGCTTCAAGAAGAGTGTCGAGCCTACGGGCTGCATGTCGATGGCTGGCGCCCTAGCAGCGTATGCGCCGCGAGTTTCAGCTTAGCTCAAGCATGTTAACAGACTTCAGGCTCTTCAGAGAGTGAGCTGGTACCAGCCTTACTTGAACATGTGGCAGCACTTTGCTCGCCTCTTGCCCTAGCAAGGTGGCTTCACTTGCTGGGCTGCTGTCAGAAAGGCGCTCTCTGTACGGCCCCTGGTCTTCTATCACTACCATTGGCATCATGGACTCACAGGCCACCCCAAGCTGCAGACGCGGCGGGTGCGTTGCCCAGACCCTGTGCGGGTTGCAGTGTGGTCGGCTGAATTGTACGTCATACATCAAGCATTGATGTGATTTGTGCAGCAGTGGCCGTAGTACAGTTACAACGGGCTCAAAGGTGCTTTGCAATTGTCATAGCCAAGCCCCGATGCAGCAATGGCAGTGGCTCCTGAAGATGTGAAGCCGATTAAGAAACCGGAGGTCGGTCTTTGAATTGTTGCTGCCCGTCCAGGGTTCAGTGCTCATCTGGTGCAGGGCTTCGGGGTCTCTGACAAAACCACGCACTACGTCAACAAGGTGCTGCTAGGGCAGACAATGAATGCCTGCAAGCTTCATTTGCAAGATATCCCTTCAAAGCTACGAACAATCTGCTGGGCGGCCCTAAATGCCAAGCCTTTTCGTCGTCCTTTGTCCCGTACACGCTTGTGAGCAAGACAGCTGATTTGCTGCAGCGCACCGGCCAGTTATGCTTCTTCACCATTAGCGACTTCGTCGAAGACAGGGTAAGAGATCCTCAGCTCAACAGCAGCTTTCTGTTCTGCCATCTGACCTGAAGTGTATGGACGCTCATGCAGGGGTGAGGGCTTTCAGGAGTTCTCAACTGCGCCTCGTATTAGACCGTGCCCCTTGCTGCATCCTCTTGCGGCTCTGCCCATACACATGACATGTGTGACAGCATGACTGAGATTCGTTGCCTGAATGTGGTGGCCTTCTCCCTGATTTACGTTTACTTCGTGTCTCATGGCTGCCGTGATTGCACTGTCCAGTATCTTGATGTTGGCCAGCTTGCTTACAGCAGTGATGGGTTGAACAGTGGATGGGGGTCCATTGTTTATCTGGCCTTCCACATGTTTCCAAAGGTTCGCGCTGCTAAAAACAACACCGGCGCCTGAGCCTCGTTTGAAGAACGCGCCTTGGCAAAGAGTACAGGGAAGAAGTCAAAAGCGCGCAAGAAACACTGAAATTTGTTTCGATCGTCTTCGCTACAACGGGAGGCCTAGTTCATTGCTTCTTGGTAGAAGTTAGTAGTTAAGGGTTTAGGGTTTAGGGTGCAAAAAGGATTTAGGGTAAGGGCGGTGGTGCAATTCGTGAAGGTACGCTTTGCCAATCCTCCACCATCGGCGTGGGTATCCGGCGATATGTCGGCGGACTTGAAGAGCTTCTTCATTGGACGCTTCGGCTAGAAGCGGAATCGCCCTGAAGTGGGTATTCACTACCTGAGAAGCCTTTCCCCGCAACAGGCCGCTTGTCCGTTTTTTTTGCGCTTTTCTTCACGAGGAACTGGGAGTCTCCCGAACCGTTCACAAAAGCTCTTTGCCGTGGACGACTCCGGGAGCCCGATGAGGAATGCGATTGTTGAGGCGTCTTTGATTTTGAGAAGGATCTTCAGTTTATCTTTGCACTAGCCCTGAAATCCTGGGCAGTTCGAGACGCTTGACGAGTGAGAGTAGCGTTATAAAGGCAGACCGGTAGCCTTAGAACTCCTGGGCCTCAAAGGGAAATCGGCTCCCTGTTCAAGAGAATTCCGGGATACCTTGGGAAACTCCCAACTGACAACATAAATCGCTGGGTCAGAGCAGGAGCTTCATGGAGCTTCAAAGGTGTGACCAGGCTTTCTTGTGCATTTGGACGTGCATGAACGTTCCCTTGCTGTATATCTAGCAAGTTGTGATCGCCCCTGCCCATCCCGATAAGATCCTGGCAAATCCCATCTTTTTGGTGTCATTCTTTTAATGCTTGTATCTTGCACCTGCAGGTGAAAGCCACGAACTTCGTTGGTGATGGGCCACTCCCCTGCTCCAAGGCTGGTAAAGCTAGGATGGTGCCGGTGCGGGTTCCACCAAAGCTCCTAGACGATGGATGTAAGCGGAGGGTTTGGGGCGACGGGGATCGTCATCAAGCGTGATATCTCGGAAGAAGATTGTCGTTGCTTGCTGTGGAAGGCACAACAAGATGCCATGGCGGGTACCCTCGAGGCTCGGCGCCTTCAGCATGCTCGGGCCTCAAAATGGAGTGCCCAATTCTATGCATAGTCCGCACTGTAGGCCATGACCAGTGATGACTGCTTTCTGTGAGGTATGCAGATACGAGATTGCCTACAATGCAGGCCCTGTGCCAAGAAATAACTGCTGAAGATTTTCAACTTCCGTTTGCGGCCAGAGCTTGTGACAGACTGATTTGTCCAGAGGCCCAACGGATCAGGGGGGCATGATCTCGTTGACGAACTTCTCCGTTCGGGGGCCTGCGGGCATGTACACGCTGGTGCCAACAGCCAATGGGATTTCCTCCACTGAGGCACCGGCAAGTGTCATGTAGATGGGGTTGACATGGTTGACCTGCTTGAATCCCGAAATTGGCCATAATCCTACAATAATTAATTAGTAGTCTACATTTCGTTGTCCACTTGCTTTTCCAGTATTAGGTGCTGCTGCCCACCTGAGCTTGCACTTTTTGTTGCCAGGCGGCATCCATGTTGGTATCTACGCCTGTTGCCAGCCTCGAGGTTGTGAACTTGAGCACGCATCCTGTCAGCAAGGCAGGAAACTAGCACGACATTGTCACGAAGATGCACTTGAGGCCTGACCTTGAGTTGGTCCCTCCACCTACCAGCGTGGCAGTTCTTCAGCTGCAGTTGGCAAGAGACGGTTCCAGTGATTCCAGCATGCCTCGGGCTTACTGAGCACAGGTCGGAGTACCATTCGCTTGGCAGCCCACGATTCTCGTTCGTGACATGAACGGACTACCAGTCCCTGGTCGTCAGGCCGGAGCCTGAGGCGTGAGCAGTCGTGAATGTCGTGACCATGCCGTTGACGGCTGGTATCTGCTCATGTGCCGAGATCGTGGCCTTCGCGAATCCTGACCCGGCCTGGCCACCCGAAGGACCAGCTTCCCGCGTGGAGCGATATGAGAGACGAGGGCAGAAGGTGCTAGCAGTTGTGCTAGCTGAGCTGACGTCATGCATCGGAAAGTTTGCCTTGACTGCACATTTCGCCAGGTGGTGGAGCTGAAGCTTGGCAATCCATCATCCTCTTGCTTTCCCTTTTGTTTTGCTCTGGCCGCTTCTGGTGCCCTGAGGAACTGCCCCGAATCTGGGCTCTCGGATGCCCGCGGTATTGACGCTGGCTTGCCCTAGATTCAGGTTTGTGTAGATGAAGGTGGAACCTTTTTTTCTTCAATTTCAGGCGTGATGACATAAAGGTTTGAAGTAGCTGTCATTTTCCAGTTCAGGGAGTGCTGAACACAGCTAGTTGTGGTTTACGGTGCTAGACTTTCGCCAGGCAGCGCGATGCTGCCTTGATTTTGGATGCAATTTTCTTGGCTGCCTGAGGCCACTTTCACTTGCCTCGGCATCAACAGCAGCAACGAACTCCGGATGCATACAGTAGCTGCATCTGGTTTGGAATTCCAACGTTGACGTCATGATCAGGTGGACCACGTGAGCATCGTGTTTGCAGAGAGTGCGCTGGTATTCTCTCCGTGGAATGATCCGGTTTATTCTCCAAGGACCTACCACATGTAGTCCAGGCATGTCAGATCAAGACAAGGAAGGAAATAGTGTGTGCGACCGTTGATTCCCAGCGAGCTTTTGCCGCAGGTTCCAACTCAAGTGAGCCTTGTGGATTAGCAAGCACGACGTCTTGTCCCTAGCAGCTACAGTGACGGAGGAAGAATACATCTAGTCCAGCAGCCCACCACACGCTGTGCAAGAAGAGCCGTGCAAGCTCCTGCAGGAACCTGTACCCGCTGCCAGTTGAGAAGTTTCGGTATCCGATCTACATCAAGCCGAGGGCCGCCGAAGTTAAGGCTTGTCGATACGAATACATAGATTCTGTGCAAACATGGCGGCCGTCCACTGCAAGCCGAAGCATGTCTAGATGCAAGACTGGCAGCATAGGCATGCCTGAAGCCATGCATGCTCATAGATGGACCTTCAGAGATTAAAGTGTACCTTCGCGTCAGGTGACGACCAAGACGCTTGGCATTGCCGTTGGTATGTACATCCCTACATCTGCAATTCGTGCTTGTCCCCAAAGAGGATTCTTCTTGTGTGTAAGCTAACATAATAGTAATAACAATAGTAATAATAATAGTAATAATAATCGTCATAATAATAGTAATAGTAATGGTAATAATAATGGCTAATTAGTCTGGCTTCAAGTGTGTTCCACTGCAAGGGTCCCGGCCAATGTGACGGAGGGAGTGCCGCATCTTGGCAGCGCGTGGTGTAGAATAGTCAAGTTCAGCAAAATTCTGAGATTGAGTAGCTAAGAGGGCCAACAACACTGCACTAGCGCTTCCACCAAAGATCAAGATGACCACCTCCATGACAGCAGGATGACTAGAATGTAGCCAGACTGCAGAGTTCTTGCAAGCAAACGTTATCGTTAAGCGTGTCCTGCAAAATATTGGTAGGTCTGTGTAGCCTGGAGAGGGCACGTTGCCACAGGCCCAGCTGGTCCTTGCGTAAGAAGGTAAACCCAGAAAGTGAGGGACCTGGCAAGCGACAGCAGAAGAGACATCTTTTGCCTGTGGCTTGCTATGGATGATCTCCCCTCCCCCTCACCTGGACCAGCTGCCGTGACTCCAGGTTCGATCCGCAGCCTGCTCTTACAGTTCTTGATTCGAGTGGGCAGCCCGCTGCCGGCGTTCCTTAGCACATCCTGGTGCTTTGCGTTATGCCAGATATGCCACGGGTTCAGCAAGCTGCTAATTGGATCCCATGAGGTGAGATGCTACGAGCCTCGGTTTCTATTTTATTGGAGCAATCCCATTGTGACTGGTCATGCGCAGACAAGTCCGCCTTGAAGCTTCCCAACTGGGTTCATCGAGCAGAATCTCAGGCACTTCTTTCAATTGAAGGATTCCTTCGAAATCCCAATTGGTATCGCCGCAAATTGAAGGGGGTGAAGAGCAAGGACTTTCCACATGCCTTTGACCTATCTGCTAGCTGCTGCATTTGATGAAGCAGGATCTGATAAATGCAGAAGCGACAACAGATG